TCTCTCTCTCTCTCTCTCTCTCTCTCTCTCTCTCTCTCTCTCTCTCTCTCTATCTCTCTCTCTCATTAATGACGCGCAAACAAGATTACAGAGACAACCTTGTGCCCGAGAAGCAAAAAGGGTCAAGTCCAAAATTATCAGCTTTTGCCGAGATTTCAATTTATATTATCGTAATAAGAAATATAATGACTTTTTTACAAAATACATGGAAAAGCAAAATAAATTCTCGAAGAGTAAATCTCGAAATCAACATATTTAAAAACAAAACGCGACAAGACTACTTAGAATAAAGAGAAAAACGCTGTATTTTTTTTTATAGAAACAATTCGTTTTATTTTTAAGTAAACACTATGAATCTATTATATTGGACGAATTTCAACCTGATTGCATTTATTCACATTCATTAGATTCATCTTGAAAGCGCATATCCACAAGTCCATAGACCTTCGCGGGTTTTTCCTGGAAAAAAACGAAATCTTGAACTTGTGCTTTTGTGCTGCTTGGGTACAGAGTTAATAACTGATAAAAGCAAGCATAGGTATACCTCCTCCCAGCTTGCTTCATAAATAAATCGAAAACGCTCGGAATGATATTAGAACTATGTAAAAAAAAAATTAAACTTTCACGTAGTAATTAAAAATTTTCTATTTTTACTTAAATTATAAAATTAAATCATTCAATTTAAATGTTATACAAATTTACTTCCTAATTATAACAGTAATTTCTAGAGCAATGCAATTTTATATTGTTAAAGTTTTTTTTATTATAAAATACTTTAAATACTCGAAAAAATTAAATTTAGAAAAAATTTGAAGAAAAATTAAATGTATTTTTAATTTTTTTTTAATCATTTTCAATCATAATTGTGTGATTGAAATATAAAAAAAAAACTCGACTATGAAAACAAATTTAAATTTAATTTTCTCGATCTTAGTTCTACAAAAGTTCTACAAATATCACAGTAGCATACGCAAAAGCATTTTATCTTTTTATACATAATATATTTACAACACTTTATATAACAATAAGTTTACCTATTACATTCTGTACATTTTATCATTGATCTCCCAGCTCTATATACGTGAACTAACAAATTTTGATGTTAAGGAAATGGAAGAACATAATTTGTTCCTCGAATTGTATAATATGGCACGTTCATTTTTCATGAAAGCATGACTATTCTGGAAGATTAGAGAGAGAGAGAGAGAGAGAGAAGCGGAGAGAAACAGAGTGTATTTCAGAGAGAGTGAGATGAACTTGCTGTGTGACTTACGCGGCGCTTCAAACATCACAGATTATATTATCATGTATATGTATTATGTGCATCGGAATGGCAACTCACCTGGATCAAGAGAGTACCTGTACAGTAATTGAGACGAATATGGTTATATTGTTTGGTGCATACCTGGCTTACTTCTCACTCACTAACCAATCAAGAGAAGTTACTTGTGACTTCGACTTCGCGAGCGGTGACGGCGACGGTTATGATGGCTGGAACTACGATGATCACGATTCCCTGAAATCATTATCATTGTCATTGCATTCTAAAAAAAACACAATGTCTGATATATAGATTATAATTATTAATGTTATCACTCACCTTTATCTCGACCGTGACGTCGATGGCTATCTTCATCTCGATGATGTTTATCTCGCGATCTACTTCTACTTCTATGCCTAGAATTTCTGTAATAAGCAACATCCCCGTTACATTGGCTCATTCGATTCTTGAACATCATATTTCTGCTAGAATGTAAAAATACAACAGAAAAGATCTTTTAGAAATTAAATTGGAAACAATTTTAATCAAATATATAAAAATTCTAATCGATATTTATCCTAACAAAATATTCTAACACTATTCTAGATTGAATAGAGTTTAGAATAAATTTTTTAAAGGCCATAATATGTAGAAATTTTTACCTGTGACCGCCCGAATCATGGCGGCTCTTGTCATCATCCATTCGCCTGCGACGCTTATCCCTTTCTCTGTCGCGATCTCTATCTCTGTCGCCATCTCTCCGCCGTCGGTCGAGCTCTTCGTTCGCTCGTGCTCTTTGCTTCCGTTCCTCCTCTCTTTTTTGTTCTTTCTCGTCGCGCGCCTTCTCACGCTTGTTCTGTAGATACAATTTTAATTTAGTTTTCAACTTCGAAGATATATTTAAAATTCTTGTTCAATCAACACTATAATTCTATTCAAATATAACTTGTAAGAATTTTGGGTAATTCTTCAGAATAGTTACCTCCGATTTCGATGAAATTAGTCATTCGACGCGTTCTTGCTAAAATGAAAGAGCAGAAAAAAATTCGGGATTGCTTTGCGAAGCGAGATATTGAATTATAAAGTTGACTAAAGTGTTACTACATAATATGATCATTAATCTGTGTGTAAACAATAATGTTTATTGGAGAGAAAATTAACATATCCTACCCGCTTGGGACCTAACCGCCTAGAAGTTGCAGCGTAGATAGTGTCCGTTTGAAATATTTCTAATATAAAAACAGGAGTGTGAGAACAGTCTTTTTGGAGCAGTTTTTTTACTGTCTAGGCTGCAACTTCTAGACAGGCCGTTAGGATGTTATTTTTTTTGTTCGAACGGCGTAACTGCTCCGAATCAATAAGACTATGGTCTATACATTTTACATAACAGAATTCAATAATGCTCGAATGGGCTTAATTTCATCGAAATCGGAGGTGAGGTAACTCTATTCTAAATTATAAATTTGTATTATTCCTTGCTTCTGATCCAAGACAGCAGTGGTGAGTGAACAGGAACTTTCAAAAAAATATCAAAATATCTCTACCATAATCTCTTGAAGAGCGCTTTTTAACCTGGCATAGCCCACGTGTTGTTTCCCCATTAAATGATCATCAATCCGCTGCTGAGCATCACCCACGATAAGAAATGCACCACATACATCGCATACCTCCATTTGTTTTTCCTGTGCGGCTGCTAGCTCAGCAGTCTGCAAATTAACAGAATTAGTATAAGAATTCAAGTAGCAAATAAATTATTTACAATTACTTATAACTATTACATATAAAGCTACATAGAAATTAATTATAGATTACAGTTATAACTTGTAAATTCAAACAATTGTTTCATACTCACTTGGTTGTAATGACTGTTATCATTGGATTTCCTTAGGGTTTCGCGCTCTTCTTTCAACTGATCACAAAGACGCATTAGGCCCTGTGCTTGCTCCACATTACCTTGAATTCCACTTTGCTCAGCTTCTTCAACCAACTTATTTATTTTCTCTGTTAGTAGAGCAATCTGTTCCTCATTCCTCTGAGTTTGAGCTGGAGTTAATGTCGGCTATACACACAAAAATTATTAAATTACAACTCTGCGCTTACAATCTGATCTTCTAGTAAAACTTACTGCTTCTGTTCTCCCAATCAGTGCCAATCGCTGCTTTCCCTTTATGATTTTTCTCTCCACTTCGTTTAACATACTCTGACAATACCTGATAAACTCATCCTCGTATTGCTGTTTACGATACGAATGCGGTGCCTTTTCAAATAATTCCCTGGCCTCGTCGTCGTGTACTTTGGGGCATGCACCTAAGTCTGCTCTTGTGTTAACGAATAAATCATGGGGACAAAATTTTACCAGATACAGCTTACAAAACTGAAACACAAGACCATTCCATAGACATATTTAGATAAATATAAATTAATGTAAAATAATTAAGTTTAAAATAAAATTCGATTAATAAAATAAAAGTTTAGTCAAAAAGAACAGTCTCTTGTTGTTTGCCTATATTAAACGAAGATGAAAAATGATTCACTGTATTACACTGTGTCCTTGCTGGAAAGAATTCATAATCTATCCTTAACTCTTAATATTTTTTAAAAAATAAACTATAAATACAGTTTATAAATATATTTATTTATCAAACAAATTATAATCTGAAAATTTTGATATTCATTTCCTTATTACATTTTTTTTATTTCTTCATATTCTACATCTTTTTTACTCCAAAAAATATGTTTAAATATATCTTAATAGTTAACTTAATAGTTAACTAATAAATTTCTTAAAAAAAAATAAAAACTATAATTTTGAAAGAAAAATAAGAAAGTAAAATAAACAATCAGTTCAAAGCTAATGAGAGTCAAAGCAGATGAACATACAAATTTATTATCTAACAATAATTAATAAATTTTTCCATTATTAAAAAATAATGAATTTATGACTTTTCTCATTAATATCAATTATCAATTTGTAAATATTTATTTTTAAATTCAAGCTTTGGAGTCAGATTTTATTTTGACTGTATCTTCTAATTACAAATAAGATAAAATCTTATCAGATATACAATATTTCCAAGCTTTAAGGAGAATTTAAAAGACAATAAAATTTAGAAAAAGTTAAAGGAGCAGTTAAATTAAGGCTCTGTGTACAATGAAAGAAATATTAAGAATAGAAAGAATATTAGAGAAATAAAAAATAGGAATAACGATTAAATACTATAATTTATTTTTTTATTTTTCTAATATTTTTTTCATTGTGTTGCAAAGCCTAATTTTATAAAATTTTAGGATAATATCAGAGTAAATCAACTCAACTTTCTTTAAATATTCAATCATACAAATTTTCGTGATTTGCATCTTAGAATCTTGAGATTTTTCGCGGACGAAATGAAGACAAAATACCATTGACAATAAAGAGGGTTAACGAGAGAAAAGATAAGAATTATCAAAAATAGGAATTTTGCGGAATTCGAAGCCTAACGAAGGCTTCTCGAAAACACCTAACATCAATGTAGACTCACCTCGGGATCTTCCCAATTGAGCTCCTTGGGCTTTTCATTGGGCAAGACATTCCTGTTCCTGCCCATAAGCTCATCGAGCAGCGCGGCAGCCGCAGCGGCGGCCATTTTATTTTGATCACACTAAGGCAATCGTGACTGATTGCGACGTCAATCCGCACATAGGATTCACACGTTAAAAATCTTGCAGCTGCTGAAGATTCGCCGCGAGATGAAAAGAATCTTCACTTGATGGCGAGGCACGGCGGTACAAAGTAATAATTTCGACAATTCTCAATGGGATTCAATCACGAGACACAACACAACAGCAACGCGCTTACGACGTCGACAATTGCGAAGCGAAACTGCTTGTGATTGTGCGTTCCGCCACTAGGCGAATAAGGCCGGATTCACACCTTGAGATCGATTCTGTATCTTCAAACAAGGTGAAAATTAAGCTGAAAACACAAAAAAAAGCATAAGTAATAGGAACAGGGAATAAGAGATTTGAACTTATCAGAAACCATGAATAATAGAATTGGACGTTTTCTGATAGGTTGAAATTTTATTCCGTTTCCTATTGCCTGTGCTTTTCTGTGTTTTCAGCTTTACAAACGCGAGTAAATTTACTAGGTGTTGATCAATGAAATAATTAGTATTCTAGTAAATTCGCTCACTTTTATAATTTTCATCTCATTTCAGGATATAGAATCGATCCTCTTGACGGAAAAGCGGAAACCAATCAGAATTCGCGGAAAGACAGAAGCAGACAAGCGAAATGTACCGCCTATTATTACTCTGATTGGCTTCCGCTTTTCCACTTTTCCTTCAAGAAGTAAACCCGGCCTAAGAAGCTCCATACAAATAAAAGGAATAGAGAACAGAGAGCAGAAAATAAAAATTTCAACCTATCAGAAATCATGTATTATGGCATACACAGTTTCTAATAGATTAAAATTCTTAAGCGGGAAGCACAGACTCTTGCATAACGCATAAAGCCGATTCTACATTAGTTGCAAGTTTGTTGCGACAGCCAATCTAAAACTTGCATTTTGAAATCAACACATATTGGCTGTTGCAACAAACTTGTGATCGACTTGCAATAAAAAATTCAATCAGAGTTCTTTATTTCATGAAAAGAAAGGAAACGAAGGACTTTAATTGATACATTTTCTTATGCATTACGTGTTATATGTTATGCAAAAGTCTGTGCTCCCCATTTAAAATGCTACAGCACGATTATACGAACCGAATATCGATTTATCATCTCCAGCCTTGAAAAATGGACAATGTATCCTAAGAAAAATGGACGTTACTGTGTAGCTTACATCCACTTTGTCAGAGAGCGGCATTTTGCGGTTATAGATTTTGGGTCATGGCTGTCATCTCTTCTTCTCTTAGTTCTGATCCGGTTTAAATCCTTGGTGAAAACTAGGCCTGTGTCCTAGCTGGAAAACAGCCTGTCGCCGAAAATGAGCGGTATGAAAAGGCATTTTAAGCTGGTTCTACATTAGTTGCAAGCCGATCACAAGTCCAGCCAATCTAAAGCGTTTCAAAATGCAAGTTTCAGATTGGCTGTCGCAACAAACTTACGATTGGCTTGCAACTAATGTAGAACCGGTTTTAATGGAAGCACCATAGCCGATATTCATAGTCGAGCCTTATTTCAAGACCGTCTTAAGTAATGTCTTAAGACGCTAATGCAGCCTTCTGATTGATTCGTGACTTCTTAAGACCGTATTTAAGATGGTTTGAATATAAGATCTGACCACAGTATAACCAGTAGAGACACTCAGCGAAAAAATGCGTGTTTGCGCAGGTATGGCTGCGCAGCTTTTGTTTTAGATCGGATCCAATGAAATACAAGATGACAAGAACGTACATATTACACAGATCCCGTGTGAGCAGATATCCGTGGCAAAAGAAGACAATTTAAGAGCTGCGTAAATATTTCTAAAAAATGGATAAAAGAAAGAAAAGTTACGTGCAGTATTAAAGAATGCAGTAATGATAGTAAAGATTCACAATGCACTTTTTTTCGTTATCCCAAAAATATCGTAAGGTAAGTTTTTATAATTTACAAATAGTAAGTAGTAGTATGCTAGGTTAATTTAATTAAACATAATCAAATGTAATTTTGTGAAAAAAGATAATATTTTTACATTTACTACGTTTACACGGAATTCTTAATTATGTTTTTTAGAGCAAAACAATGGACTATTGCATTATATCTTCTTTCGGTCCTGGATTTTTCAAACGTTAACATGGCGCATGCTCACGTTACTGCAACGTGGAGAAAGGTGCCGACACGGAGTGTCCCACCCTACTGGTTATACTGTGATCTGACTATGAATACCGGCCCATGAAATCGGACTATGAAGTCCCTTCCATTAAGATGCCTTTTCATACCGACGTCAAAATAAATCACGTTATAGAAATTGACAAATATCAAGCGTCAATTTTGATCACGTGATCTATTTTGATGCTAAAAATGAGCGTTGAGCATTAGCATCAAAAGATAACTTTCAGGCTGCTTTTTCATGCAGACGCTTGAAGCTCATTTCCAGCGTCATAATAGGTCACGTGATCAAAATTGATGCTTGGTATTCGTCAATTTTAATCATGTGATCTGTCTTAACGCTCGAATCGAGCATGAAAATGCAGCCTCATGCTTCTAAAATAGCTGCCATTTTAATTTTTGCTGCGGTGCGGCACGGACGCGAACGGAGTAGAAAGGAGGAATATGCTCAGAGGTTTCCAAGATGGCGAAGAAAACGCAGGCAGAGAAAACAGCACAGAACGACGAGACCGCCAAGGGCAACGACGATCCAATGAACGACGATGAGGAGCCCAACTTCAGCGATCCGGAAGGCTTCGTCGACGACATCACTGATGAGGGCAAGTATCCACTTGCTTCTCTTCTTTTTTTTTTCCTTTCTCAAACCCGTTACAGCGCTAAGACATGTTGCACTTGTTCGAATCTCGCCGTAATCTGTACATATGTGTGAGTGCGAGCGCGAGCGCGCATTCCACATGCGGCACGTGTCATTTCATCTCCAAAAATTATTTTCCTCGCCGGTTTGGAGCGCTGATAATTTGGAGTACTTCCGATCTGTGGAACGATTTGGAAAATCGGCATTGTGAACTGTCACAAATCACGTCACAAATTATCTTGCAAATGGTTCCTCCTTATGGCAATTTCGTTTTTTTTTTCATACTTTTTGAATCAATTGCACACGATGTGATGCTTCGTACACAATAAAAGCTCGCGACATGTACTGTCGATTCCATTTGGGCATCAATACTTTGATTTGGATTTTAGACGTCATGTGCCATCACATTAAGACTCAATTGTACCAATGTTACTTTGATTTTAAGCGAGGCTTAAAACTGATTCGGTCTTGTTTTAAAGCTAAAAGGAGACAAAGACAGAAAGAGTTTTAAGCCTTGCTTAAAGTCAGTGGCATTGATGCAACTGGACCTAAGTCTGTTCATTGTTTGAAATTCCGAAAAATGTTTGCACTTAAAAGGAGATAATATATATTCGAACGTTGAAGAGAAAGCAAAGGTGCTGAATGCAAAGAATGTTACATGCAGTGAACAAATCTGTCTGCTTGAAACACATTTGGGAAACATGTTATCAGCGTTATGTTCCATCGTTCATTAGAAAAACAAGAATAGATTAATGCTAATAACTTGCCCTCTTGATATCAATTTGTTTTTTAAAACATTTTTTTAAAACTTCAAATGACAAATATATATAAAGGGGACAATATTTGTCCCTTTTCGCTTCCCCCTAAATGTTAACAGAGAAAAAATTAAATTATGAAAATCATTAGGCTTGTTCTTGTCGCTGCATTAAAACTTTCTGTCTCGCTTTCGCTAAGCTATAAATATGTATTTAAGATCCCAGTTCCACCATGTAAGATTAACTTTACTCTCAGTTTATTTAATTTTCATTTTTTTTATTTTTAGAATCAGAAAAAGATAAAATATACATTAAATCAAGATTAGAGTTAATCTACATTGATAGAAATTAATATTACTCTTCCAAGAGCTGACGGTAATCTATTAATTGGAACTACTTAATTATGAATCTTTGTCAAAAAAGTTGAACATTTCAATTTTTTTATGTTACATCTATAAATTTGAATTATCATTAAAATATTCTTTCTTGTGCAAATTGATTCTTTGAAATTAATTAGTATCTTTTAATTATCATCAATTAAATAGATTTTATAAAGTTACAGCTATCTATAAATATATCTATCTACAGATTACAGATTTTAGCTCTAGAAGGTTGAAATTGATTTTATAAATTCTTAAGCCTGATCTACAATTGCATATTTGTAAATGGTTGTGAAATGTTATAAAGTGAAGTTTTAACCTGCTACTCCCGGTTGTAAAGCATGAAAGATGATTCTTTATCCTGATTCTACAACTGCGTAAAACGTGAATCAATCAGAATGCTGTCACGTACCTATATTTTATCTCTATCATCCTTTTTGTCTCGACGTAATAAAATGGAAATGAATGCAAAGTGTCCTTTTTCATCTTTTTACATTCATTTTATGATATTACATGACGAGTTTATTATATTATGAATATATTATATTATGAGTATGGAACATGGAGAAAGTATTGTGAGCAATGTTCAATTTGAAAGTTCGTTGAATCTTTACTCGATTGTAGATATGTTGTATAACATTCACTGCTATTACTACACCCATAACATCTACGTTTACGCAATTGTAGGCTTTATATTACGAGAATGAACAGTTCGTATAATAATGAATATACGTTTGTATTGTAAACTACAGAATTGCTCGGTGATATCTTGAAACAGAAACCTTCTGAAACGGATGGAGTAGAATCCGTGATTGTTGTGGATAATGTACCTCGGGTGGAGCCTGATAAATTGGAGAAGCTTCAATCTGTTATCAATAAAGTTCTGGGAAAGTTCGGCACAATAGTCAATCAATACTATCCAATGAATGAGACCGATGGCAAGACTAAAGGGTTAGTCTAAATTTTAAAAAAATCAAATCTATTTTTGTAAAAATCTTTCAGAATGATTATTGACTCTTTTTAAAATCTTTTTTTTCTTTTTGACAGATACATTTTTCTGGAATACAATAATCATTTGAATGCGCTTACTGCAGTCAAGTCCACCAATAATTACAAGATTGATAAATCACATACATTCAAAGTCAATCTTTTCACGGATTTCAAAAAATTTGAAGATATTCCTGAAAATTGGGAACCGCCAAAGGCTCAACCTTTCAAGGCTGCTAGTGACTTGCATTATCATCTACTAGAGCCAGATGCTTATGACCAGTTTTGTGTTCTTT